GGGGCATCCTGACCCTCAAGTACCCCATCGAACACGGCATTGTCACCAACTGGGACGACATGGAGAAGATCTGGCACCACACCTTCTACAACGAGCTGCGCGTGGCCCCCGAGGAGCACCCGGTGCTGCTCACTGAGGCCCCCTTGAACCCCAAGGCCAACCGTGAGAAGATGACTCAGGTAAGCGCTGCCCCGAGCGCCCGCCGTTCGTCTGTTTCATTAGCCATTTTCTGTTCCGCCTTATTTTCTGAAATTCAAGTATTTCTTTCGATATTTCCAGGGTTCTGTTCTTCTCCTGGCATTTCCTTCCTGAAGTCTCAAGGTTTCTTACTTGTGTTTCTGCCTGCAACCTTTTTTTCTTTTCTCTACACATCACATTTGTGGCATGCCAGCATGCGGTGTGTGAGCATGGGGTGGCTCCGGGTCCCTGTCTCTGACTAAGGAGCCCGTTGCCTTCTTCCAGATCATGTTCGAGACCTTCAACACCCCAGCCATGTACGTGGCCATCCAGGCCGTGCTGTCTCTGTACGCTTCTGGCCGCACCACTGGTATTGTCATGGACTCTGGGGATGGGGTCACCCACACTGTGCCCATCTACGAGGGGTACGCCCTGCCCCACGCCATCCTGCGTCTGGACCTGGCTGGCCGGGACCTGACGGACTACCTCATGAAGATCCTCACGGAGCGCGGCTACAGTTTCACCACCACCGCCGAGCGGGAAATTGTGCGTGACATCAAGGAGAAGCTCTGCTACGTGGCCCTGGATTTTGAGCAGGAGATGGCCACGGCCGCGTCCTCGTCCTCCCTGGAGAAGAGCTACGAGCTGCCCGACGGGCAGGTGATCACCATCGGCAACGAGCGGTTCCGCTGCCCCGAGGCGCTCTTCCAGCCTTCCTTCCTGGGTAGGTGTCTTGGGCAGCCGCGACTTCGGGCTGCGTCGCTTTGGGTCCGGAAGAGGGGCGGATGCCCTCTAACGGAGAGCGTTGTCTCTTAGGTATGGAGTCCTGTGGCATCCACGAGACCACCTTCAACTCCATCATGAAGTGTGACGTTGACATCCGGAAGGACCTCTACGCTAACACGGTGCTGTCTGGCGGGACCACCATGTACCCCGGCATCGCCGACAGGATGCAGAAGGAGATCACAGCTCTGGCGCCCAGCACGATGAAGATCAAGGTGAGTCCAGTGCGGCCGTGGGCTGGGCCTCCCGGGGCCCCGCTGTGAAGACCGCGGCCTAAACTAAAGCCGCGGTTTTGTTCTCACAGATCATCGCTCCCCCCGAGCGCAAGTACTCCGTGTGGATCGGGGGCTCCATCCTGGCGTCGCTGTCCACCTTCCAGCAGATGTGGATCAGCAAGCAGGAATACGACGAGTCGGGCCCCTCCATCGTCCACCGCAAATGCTTCTAGACGGACTGCGGGCAGATGCGTGGCGTCTGCCGCACGAGTGAATTCCGAAGTCTAGGTTTGCCCTGGCAAGTGTGTGCGCCTCCTGCTGGCCTCGTGAAACTGGAATAAGCCTTTGAAAAGAAATCTGTCCTTGAAGCTTGTATCTGATGCCAGCACTGGATTGTAGAACTTGTTGCTGATCTTGACCTTGTATCCAAGTTCACTGTTCCCTTGGTATATGTTTAATACCCTGTACATCTCTTTGATTTAAATCCTTAGGACGTGCGGCTCGGTCACTTCGTGGCTGAGGTTGAGAACATGTTCGTGGAAGAGAAATCCATTGGTTTGAGAATCTTCGAGACCATGATATTCTCGATCTGTGCAGGGTATTAATGTCTAAGAGCTGCCTATTCCAGGATTTCTCTAGAGGCTGGCAAGAGTCCTGAACCAGTTGTCATTTCTGTCTTGCCGGTCTGACAGGGTTGGGAAGGTCCGAGCCTTGGGACCCACTTTCCTTTCTTACCCGATGTTTTCCTGCCAGAACACCGTGGGTTGTTAATTGCCTTGAGTTGGAAAACGGTTTGCATTTACAACTGTAAATTTATTCATCCTTTTAATTTATGTAAGGTTTTTGTACACAATTCTCAATTCTTGAAGAGATGACAACAAATTTTGGTTTTCTACTGTCATGTGAGAACATTAGGCCCCAGCAACGCGTCCTTGTGCAAGGAAAATAAAGTGCTGCCGTGAAGCGCCCTGGCTTCTGTTTGGGGGGGGGGGGGGGGG